CAATATATTAATATGAACAAACTGCATTCAATTGAAAAATGTTTACTTTTTTCCATGAGAATTCCCACACACTTCATAATTTGAGCTGCAGTAATTTAAAAACAATGAGGAAGAAACAGAAAAAAAGGAAAATTAAAGATAATAAGAAAAGTAGCATGCAGATATTTTAAAAGCCATCGTGCCTACCTGTTTCTGGAGCGCCTTGAAAAATCATAAACAGCAGAGAAATAATCATGAGGAAATAATCCATTCTGGAGTTTGAAAAAGGAATCAAAAGGCTACGTTGCAAAGTAAGCCCAAAGAAGAAGGAATAAAATCAATCTCGGCTCCTTCCAAGCTCTTCTGAATGTTTAAATCTTAAAGTCAACTTTCGGTTGACTTTAGGTCTTAGGTTTCTGCCGGAGAGAGAAGGTGGCAGAGCCGACCAGAGGCGCACTGCAGGCGAGCTGTGCAGCGGTGCGGTGCTCAGCGCAGGACTCGCAGCTCCAGTCTCAGCGCTCCTGCTGCTTGCTGCTGCTGCTGCTGCTGCTATTGCTGGAGCGCGTCTGACCACGACAGCTCTCCGCAGCCTTTTTATATTGAACCTCTGCCTCGCGGGGGTAAATAGCTTCAACTTTATTCCAGCCCCAGACAATGTTATTGTGTTATTAGTCACCACTACGCAACGTGCAGCCGGAGATAAGGCTGGGCTCTAAAGGAAATCACTGCTAACTTCAGAGGCAGTCGCCGTCTGACAATTCAGGGGCAGGGCTAAGAAAAAGAAAATACCCATTAGAGACCTTTGGGAAACCTGCCCGTGCAAATGCTTGAGTCTACTTCCCCTTTGCAAGCTGCCAGCCCTGGAGTTCAAGAACCAGGAGAGGGACTCCAGAAAAACTCATACCATTGGTATGAAAAGTATGAGCTCCAGTTTAAATAGATTGTATTGTGTGCGGGGAATTTTTTTTTTTAATTGTTATTCACTTCAATTTCCTTTTATGTCTCTCTGATTTTTTAGCCTTGATCAAACATGAGAAAGGTCTCTCTTTTTAGTCCCCCCTTCCTCACTCTGGATCACATTATTTTGGCAGATCAATATTATTGCTTTAAAGTCAAACACCCCCCCCCAGTCTTTTTCTTTTTTGCTAATGTTCATTAAGTCCACCTCACAGAAGATAGTTGAAGGACAGACATGCAAAGAGAGCTGTTAAACAAACGAATGTGAGGCCTCTGTGGCCATTCAGATGCAGGGCCAAGTCTTCAGTAGTTGAAGTGAGGAGGCCCCGTGAGCTGCTTTCTGTGTCCACCATCTCAGTACAGCCATCTCGAGAAATTCCCAAAGCTGAACACCAGGGGACGACCAAGAGCTACCGGGGCTGAAGATTTATTAGGAAAAAAGTCTAAGTCTTGGTTTGGAAATGACAGAAGGAAAACGCCACCAGTGGAGAAGACAATGCGGGGGCGGGGGGGAGGGCTAGGAAATGGCCTCTAACATAGGAGAAGGGATGCCCCTCCGAATATGCCGTTTACAGAGGGACATTTATTGGGTGTTTTTCATTTTGGTTCTTTTGTTGGGGTAAAGTATGTACCAAGCTTTTTTTGTACGAGGTGGCTTGACTATACAAGGTGACTGACAGTGTTGGTAGAGAGGAAATGGCCGTGCTGAATAAGGGGATCAAATAATGTCACCCACTCAATAATGTGTTTGCATTTTCAAAGCAATTTCCTGTCTGTTTAACCTTGAAATCGCTACCCTCTCTAAGAGAGTCACAGGGCTCTCTTGACCAGGTGAAAACATACTGAAATGTATAATGAAATGTATAAAGTAACCTTCCCCCCTGTCCCATTTGGGTCCATTTTTCAAATGAGAAAACTGAGGCTTCCCTGATTTTTGTGCTACACAAAAGTTCCCACAGAGCTTTTTGTTAGACTTAGTAGCAGGAATTCTGGTCATTTTCCCCCAAAGTCCTACAGGTTAAAAGTAGACTTAAAGATGAATTATCACCTTAAAGAAATGAAAATCAAATCCAAGTGTCACTGAATGGATTGTGACTCCCAGTAACTCAGTCTGTGTAACAGAGTAGAAGTGCTCTGCAAGGTATCCAGAGCTGCACATCTTCAAGACTGCTCAACCTTCAAAATGACCGGTGGATTCAAACCCCCACACTTTAGGTTAGCAGCCTGGGAAGTTGCTCCGTCAACACGTGTAGGCTCTGCTACTCCAAGCAGAGGAGCGCTTGATGGGTTGGAACTGTCACACTTTTTATTAGAAGCCAAATACCCTAAACCATCTGTCCACATCTTCCAATTCATCATGTCGTGTTACTTGTGTGTGTTTATGTATGTATTTGTGTGTGTGTTTCACAGGGTGGGGTTCAAATGTGGAGCCAATTGTTAAGTCCTGGCAACTGAAGAGTATTTCCCATAACCATTCCCACCATTTTTCTTTTCTGTACCACAGAAGTAGCTTTTATCCCAATCCTGATGCTGGAGACCTGGACACACTGGAGTCTCCCTTTTTGTTGTTAGGTGCCTTGGGTACTCCTGAAATTCAGTGGAGAGGGCAGTCACAGTGGCACTGTAGGCCACAATAGGATCCTTCCCTTGAAAGACCTCTGCTGTTAGATTTAGAACCCTACCTCCCATTCCACACAAGGAGTTGCCCCCACCCAATCCTAGGTCCCCTCTCTCCTCTGCACACACCTCACCCCAGCCCCCAGGAAGCCAGCACATAACTCCAGGGGCATGTCTTCCTACCCCTATCCCCAACAGACACAAGAAGAAAACTACAGAATTGTTTCAGTCCCAGGAACCAAGCTTTAACCCTGAGAGGAGAAGTGGCGTGGGTAGAGTGTCCTGGTAGGATCTCCACCATCCCAAGTTAGTTTCTTTTTCCTTTAACTCTCTGGTAGCTTTGACAGTGCTATAGCCAGAGACAATCAGTCCTCAGCTCCTCCCTGGAAACCACTGCCTCTTCCCCCCCACCCTTGTATCTTCTGGGCCCAGTGCCCCTTGCCAGGCACCTCACTGTGGCTGTCCCTTCAGGTGCCGGGGGCACACCGCAGTCAGGTGGAGCCTGTGAGCAAACAGAAACTGCCCACTGCCCACATGACTGCTCACTTCCTCCCTCTCTGCTCAGGCCATGTCATAGGTGAATGCATTTGAAAGAAAAATGTAACCAGTAGGCAGCAATCTATCCATCTATCCGCACCCCAGAGCTTCCCCACCCAACCCCTCCGCCCCCTCTGCCTTTTGGGACCCTGTTAAAAAAAACTTTCTCAACTGGGAAGGTCTGGTCCTTCCAGACACAATCTTATCTCCACCTCTTGCATCTTTGCATCTCAAATTTCCACATGTGTGCATGTGCATGTGTGTGTGTGTGTGTGTGTGTTTCCATTCTCTGTGTGAGAGGTGGAGGACAGTGGTGCCTGACTTCTCCGTCCATGTCCATGTCTATTCTTGTAGCAGCCCCTTTACCTTTTACAGGAGAAGGGGGAGCTCCAACAGTTGTAGCCACAAAAAGGGCTCAGGCAAAACCTTTTGCAAGGAGAATAGGTAGGGCTGCACCCTAACAAACCAGTTTTACAAGCTCTCACCCCTCTTCCACTTAAGAAACGGCTGGGGTTTTAGATAGAAGAAGAGGAGATTAGAAGAATTAAGCAAAGGGAGGGGTAAGCATGAAGGAAGCCCCCTCAAGTGACTGGGACACTACTGGGTCTTCATCACCCCGTATGCTCAGAGAGGAAGGAGAAACAAAGGAAGTGCGGAGGGAGAGAAGATGGCTTTGTGCCCCAGGATAGTTTGCTGGCCTTTCTTCTGATGTTGCACTTGGGTGGTACAAACGGTTTGGTAAGGATATTTTTTCTGTGTCTTTCTTTCTGTAACTCTTGCTATGTATTAATAGATAGCTATAAATAAAACAGCCTGGGCCTCAAATAGAGATATCACACAGTAGCAAAATGTACAATCTTCAGCACTCTTCAGCTCTGTTCTTTCTCAACTTCTGCTAATAAACTTTGCAACTTTGCCAAACTAGTAAATTTGATGTGAGATGTTGCATTTTGCTCAGCCAACAGATGAGAAAATGGGCCTAGCCAAGCCGTTAGTTCTCCTTAGAAGACCCAAAGAATGAGGAACTAGTTTGTGGTAGGCAAGGTGAAGTTAGCCACACCACTTAGAACAGATTCCATCATATACTGTGGGCTGGTTTGCATGTCTGATTTGCGTAGGCCTGTTGAGAAAGATTGTACGTTACAGTCATCAAGTCAGTGACACATTATACACCCCCAGGAGTCACACACAAATCCAGCTTCTCCTCCAGCCCAAAACTGATGATTGACTTAGCACAGGAAGTTAGAACATGGCCAAGGCTGACTCATCCCATGCATCTTAAAAACATAAAATGTATGCAAGTGTTTAACTTAAAGGGGCATGTCTAAACTCAACAAGAAAAAGACAACACAATTTAAAAATGGACAAAAGCTTTGAGTAGGTATCTCTCTAGACGAGATCTTTAGATCAATAATCAACACCCTTGGTATCAGTAGTCAGGAAATCAGGAGACACATTGCTGTGGACAAATCTAGTCAGGAACCTCTCCAAAATAATGAGCAACAACTATGTCAGTTTGAGTGCACTAGATTCAGGCACGTTTAATCACTTGCTATGCATCAAGAGAGCTGGACAATGAGTAAGAATGGCAGAACTGATGCCTTTGAACTGTGATGTTGGAGAAGAGTAATGACTATCCCATGAACTGCCAAAAGAACAGATGTGTCTTGGAGAAAGTTCAGTCAGAGTGTTCCTTGGAGACAAAGATGATAAAGTGGAGAGGCTGTTTCTTAGAGAGGGATGTCATTCTTGGAAAGGTGGAGGGCCAGCCACAAAAGAGGAAGCTCCTCAATGAAATAGACTGACACAATGACTGTAGCAATGGGTTCAAGTATGTCAGTGATTATGAGGATGACATAGGATAGGCCAGAGTTCAGATTTGTAGGGTCTCTATGAGTCTGCTAGACTTGTTGGACCTAACAACAACAACAACATATGCAAGACTTCTCAGGAACAGGCAAGTATATAAAGACACGAATATATTTGGGAGTTGAGTAGCGAAAATGAAAGTTATTACTGAGGAAGTACTGAGTTTCTGTTTGGGGTGAAATAAACCTTCTTGAAAGAGAGTGATGAGGACGTCACAATGTAGTATATAAAGTTAATATTACTAAAATGAAGAATCGGCACCTTAGAATTGTGATGTTGGGAAAGAGTGTT